CACTCTGCATCCCCGTGGGCTGGATCCAACCTCCTCCGAGTAGACCCATCTGAACGAATGAAGGTGGGCTAACTTAGGCCTGTTCAGAGAATCTACTTGAGAGCCATTGGTTACAACCCCCAGCCCATCCAGCGGGGATGCGAGGAATCGAGGTGCTGTGGCAGGACCACTTCCGACACCGTCGTCGGTAGAATGGAGGACTGGAAGGGAACCCAAGGATCATCTAGTCCAACCCCGTGCAATGCAGGAATCCTGACAGATGGGCCTGCTTGAAAAAGGAGGGGTCTGCTACCTTCCAAGCGCTTCCGTTCAATATACAAATAATACAATATCTTTATTGTCATTGTCCCATACAGAACAAGGAAATTGAAAAACTACATAAAACATTCAAAAACCCCATAAAACTCTGAAACCCTTTTTAAAAATACACTATACTATACTATACTATACTATACTATACTATACTATAAAAACCCCTAAAAACTCTGAAACCCCATTTTAAAAATACACTAATAAGGTAAAGTAAAGGCACCCCTGCCCGTCAGGGCCAGTCGTGACCGACTCTAGGGTTGCGCGCTCATCTCACTTAAGAGGCCGTGAGCCGGCGCCGTCCGAAGACACTTCCGGGTCACGTGGTCAGCGTGACGAAGCTGCATCTGGCGAGCCAGCACCAGTGCCGCACACGGAAATGCCGGTTTACCTTCCCGCTACAAAGCGGTACCTATTTATCTACTTGCACTTAAGAGTGCTTTCGAAACTGCTAGGTGGGCAGGAGCTGGACTGAAAGACAGGAGCTCACCCCGCCGCGGGATTCGAACCTCCGACCTTTCGATCAGCAAGTCCTAGGCTCTGTGGTTTAACCCACAGCGCTACCCGCGTCCCTAAAAATACACTATACTATATTTATACTATACTATACTATTACTATACTATACTATAAAAACCCCTAAAAACTCTGAAACCCCATTTTAAAATACTATACTAATACTATACTTACTATAAAATACACTATACTAAAAATACACTATACTAAAAAATACACTATACTACAGAGACCCCTTATGCTGCATTTAGAACCAGAATTGCATTTGCGTAGAAACTGTTTCTCAGGCGGCTAGTCCGGCCTTTATAATCCTGGACCTTCTTCCAGAAGGCAGAAGCTGAAAGAGATCATTTCCGGGGTGCGCACTATCCTGCGCTATCTCTGCAGCTTTCTTATGGCACCTGGCAGCATAGATTTTAATCCAAGGTGGGAAGAGTGCACCCAATTATTCTCTCCGCAGTCTTTACAACCCTGGACAGCATTGTTTTTTCCACCACCAAACAGCTTTTGCCTTCAAAAAGTTATTCCTGATGCTTAGTCCTAACCTCAATCTCTTTCTCTCTCTTCCATCAGACGGGAGCAATGCATGAAATGAGATCCAAATGCGGCCGAGATCGACAGTGGAGCAGCTCCCACGTTTTGTAGCTCTGTGGTGTTTCCCCCGCTTTCTCTTCCGTGTAAGTGCCTTGCTAGAAACGAAAATCCCTTCTTCCTTTTTTTTAAAAAAAGTTCCCCATCTGATCATTAAGGACTAGCTTCTTGTTCTGCCGTAGAAGCAGGAATCCTGGCTCCCTGCCCAAGGTTTGAGCTCTAGTCCCTGTGGGAGTGTTCAGGGAGGCAGCAGAGGATATATTGTTTATTAATACCCTTCCTAACTTGCGCTAGCAAGTTCCTGTAACAGGCATCCCCAACCTTTGTCCCCTCCAGATGTTTTGGACTACAATTCCCATCATCCCTGACCACTGTCCTGTTCGCTAAGGATCATGGGAGTTGTAGGCCAAAACATCTGGAGGGCCGCAGGTTGGGGTGCCTGTTCTAGAACTTAGCAGAGTTTTACACCCCCCTTTTAAACGCAGAGCAGATAGCTGGTTGCAGGCTAGTTTAAGCCTCTTACTATTAGGTTCCTGGTAAAGGGACCCCTGACTGTTAGTCCAGTCATGGACTGACTTCTGGGGTTGCGGCGCTCATCTCGTTTTACTGGCCTGAGGGAGCCGGCGTACAGCTTCCGGGTCATGTGGCCAGCATGACTAAAGCCGCTTCTGGCGAACCAAAGCAGTGCACAGAAACGCCGTTTACCTTCCCTGCCGGAGCGGTAACTATTTATCTACTTGCACTTTGATGTGCTTTCGAAACTGCTAGGTAGCAGGAGCAGGGATCGAGCAAACGGGAGCTCACCCCGTCACGGGGATTCGAACCGCCGACCTTCTGATCAGCAAGTCCTAGGCTCTGTGGTTTAACCCACAGGTTCCTAGTAAGTTCCCCCTATATCCCTCTTAAAAGAATAAACACACCACAATCTTGTTTAAAGTATAGTCATACCTCAGGTTACAGACGCTTCAGGTTGTGCGATTTTGGGTTGTGCACTGCACCAAACCGGAAGTACTTCCAGGTTTCGGCGCTTGCGCATGTGCAGAAGCGCCAAATCACTGTTTGCACATGCGCAGAAGCGGCGAATTCGCAACCCGCACGTGTGCGGATGTGCCGCTGCGGGTTATGGACGTGGCTTCCCGCACGGATCACATTCGCAACTTGAGCGTCCACTGATATTAAAAGTTTACTACATCATCAGTTCACAGTTGGATCCCTGAAGGCAAGCTTAGTTACAAATATGTACATATGGATCCACCCCATAGAGGGGGTTAATCCCAGTGACTGTAGGCTGGTAGTCACTGCAGTTCACAAGACGAAAGGAAGATGGAGAAGAAGGGAGCATGTCTTGTGCTTTGTTACCTGCACAGGTAAGGTCACGCCCACCTCTGGTCACATGCAAAAGGAAGGATGCTCCAACCCAGGAGGAAACAGGAAGTTTTTGTCTGGCCGGAACAAACATCCCCTTTGCATGTCTACTCTAGGAAAACAAGGAATGTTGTACTTGAATGCTACCTAATGTATCATATCCCACAGTCCCCACTGCCAGGGCAAGTCTTGAGTTAAAATACGTAGCTTAGACGCTGTTTTCTAAGTAGTTTTCACTTCCCCTGCCAATTCAGGTGGAGGAGCAGGCAGGAGGTGGAGAGGGAATGTAATTATTTGTTCTGATCTCTTTTCTTCTTGCAGGTCCCGGGCAAATTAACGAATCGAGAAAACCCAAAGAAAGAAATAAGTATGTAAACAACCCTCGCGCAAGTGGCCTTCTCGGATCCTGTCAAGGCAGGTCGGCGAAGCTCAGAAGACACCGAACACCCTTTGTAACTTATGCAAACTGATTCCAAACGAAATCGGATTGGATTTTCTTTTTCAAAAGAGCGTCAGCAACAAAAATGCAGCAGTTTATTCCGCCGCTAATTTTCGCCTCCCAGATTTGCATAGAAAGATTTGCTGAATCCAACACTCCCTTAGCTGCCGCTTCCTCTCTCTCTTCTCCCCCCCCCAAAAAAAAATATATGCAGAAGCATCTCTGGACCTTCAGTCAGTCTCTCATGCCGTCCTTCGTTTCATGGCTGCCGCATTTTGCTTTTTCAGAACTTTGCAAGGAATCGGGGTGGGCGTTTGAGGGAGATTGACGCCCGGGGCAGGCATCTACGTCTGCGAACATGCCATCCATTTAAAGCACATCCAAAGCCTCTTCCACACACACACACACCCAGGCCAATCAGCCTGGGAACTGTAGTTTGCTATGGGTGCTGGGAATTGTAGCGCTATAGGAGTAAACTGCAGTTCTCGGGGTACGTGTGCTTTAAATGTATAATGTGTGTGCCATTTTGCTTCATTTTTTAAAAGTGCATTCTGTTTCATCCCCTCAAAAAAATCTGGAGAGGAACTTATCGTAACTTGTTTGTTTTTTTTACATGGAAGTGTAATCACTGGATTTTTGGCTGTTTTCTGGGGAGGGGGAGAAGGATCGACCTTTCTATGAGGCACGGGTTTTTTTTAAGAGCGGGAGGCAGAGCGACACCCTGCCGGAATCTCCCCTGTGAAAGCCTTGCTGAAATGACTGGGAGGCCTGCGAGAGTGTGGGTTAGTGACGTCACAGGCACTAGCCAGTCGCCACCTTCCACAATTGGCCAGCATTTTGCTCCTGCTCCTGAAGACCTCTTCTCTGTGCCAGTCACTAAAGATGGGGTGCGGCTGTTTTTGGGTTTCCTGCGGCAAAGCATCCCATACGCAGGGCGGCCTTTGCATGTTCGACTTCCTCTACCAAAGGGCAGCAAAATGGGAGAGACGTTTTTTCACCAAGCAAAGTGAGAGAACAAACACGGAAGATGGAGAGGATCTGGTCCAGATGATGGCAAGGTCTTGTCACCTCTTTGGCCGCAAAGCATCGTGGAGGGAGAAAATCTCTGGACCACATCAAGGCAATTTCGGAACTTCCTTTTATATATATATAAGAAAATGCAATATTCCTGTTAAAAGCACACAGCTGGGCAAAGTTCGTCATTCTGTTGGGGTAGGGACATTTCACTGAGATTTTGCTTGGACTGCAGGAGCCTTGATCCTCAGTTCTTCCCGTCGAACCACGAATGTGGGGCTCTGGAGGTGCTCATACTACAACTCCCAGCAGCCCCAGCACGGCCAGTGAGGGAATCATGGGAGTTGTAGTCGGGCAATTTCAGGTGGGTGGCAGATGCTTCCCTGCACCCCCCCCCCAGTTTCTGGAAGTTCCTCTCTCTGACCCCGTGAAATTCTCCGCAGAAACATCCCCCCATCTGATCGCTAAGGACTAATCCTGACTCTCCTCCTGAGGGGTGGAGAACCTCAGGCCAAATCTGGCCCCCAAGGCTGCTCTCTTTGGCCCTCGGAACTCTCCCTAGGCCACACCCCTCTCCCTAGGCCATGCCCCTCTCCACAGGCCACGCCCCCTCTCCGTCCCTCCTTCGCATCCTGAATGATGTTCCCTGGTTGGGATTTGTCCCTGAACTCTGACGGGGACGCAGAGAGGACTGTGTGAAAAGGTGCAAGGACCAGCCCACTGCACAAAAGCGAAAATTATATCCTTTGCTATGCCCATTTTGCTCCTTGGCACCACTGCCCACAGCTGGCATGCTGCCCCCGGAAGGAAATTCAGCCCTCTGGCCAGTTCCTCGCTCCAGAATTGCTCCTTCTGACTGAATGGGGTTTCCCAAGGAGGAACTCTGAGGTGGGGTGTGTGGGAAGGGCGCTAGGGGCTGGTGTTGGGGGAGCACTTCAGATTTCAAGTTTCTATGCCTCATGAGGCTCTGGCACCGGGTGGCGGATCGTTCCCACCCACATTCCTTCTCTCTCGTTATTATTCGCAGGGCCGTTGCAGGAAATATGAAGCCAGCCAGGCTGAACTCTGGAATCGCTTTAGGGTTCCACTGCAAAAAATTAAAATAAAAAGCCCACATCTTTCTGTTCGTTAAAGGAAAAAATAGTATGCTTAGCTTTCCTGAGCCATGCCAGCTTTGTCGTCTGTTGATTGCCCACCCCCCCAAAAAAAACCCCTCTTTGCTTTTCACATTAAGATGTGGAAGACTTCCATCCATTTGCTCATTACACGACAGGTTTGAAATATATCAGAGTCTGCCTTCATTTCTATGTGTGCTGGCCAATAATTTTTTACTGCCATTTTACCATCTTTTTTTTAAAAAAAGTTAACAAATGCAGGAGGGCGAGATTCAGCTAAGTCAAGCTCAGAGTATACCTCTTGAAATGCTCCCTTGCTTTCCCTGGGTCTCCTCTGAGTAGGATTTACGTCTGATGTCACCCAGAGGCTATCAGATAGCTGGGAATTGTCATTTAGACCCTAGGGGTGAGGAGCCTCGATCCTTGAGGCCAAAAGCGGCCCCCAAACCTCTCTGCCTGGCCCTCGGAACCATCTGCAGGCCACGCCCCCTCTCCCCAGGCCACTCCCCTCGTTGGCTCTCCTTCGCACCCTCCTGGAGCAACCTTTCCCTGATTCGAACTCGGATCCTGTTTCCTGCTTGCGTTGATGTAGGATGGAAGCTAACCTACTGCACAGAGGCAAAGTTTGCGCTCCTTACTCAGCTGACTTCCCCCCCCCCCGGCACATTCGAGCTGAAGAAAACCTCCGGAACTGTCCTTTCGCTCCAAATTAATCTCAAATCTTGATCCTCTCTTGAAGGAAACCGGGTTAGAAATGCAGCTATGCCTGTATTCCTGCTCCCCGTAACTTTGGACCCGCTCCCCAAATATTTCTGGTTCGGCCGAGACCGACCACACCAAACAGGAGATTTTCTCAGGCTGCCAATGACGTCGGCTCTGACTCTGTCCGCCGTGGCCTCTGGCGCCACCTACTGTCGACCTCCTGCCCTGTTCACCACTTTGCCTAATGTCAGAGCCGGCCCCATTTCACCCCCCAAAGCTCCTGAAACCACCTCTCCCCTCTGCGATTTCAATGGGTGACTCGATGTCAAACTGCTTAAGTTTCGCTCCAGCAGGGCTGGCGTCGAAACCGTCGCTTTTGGGAAAAAATAGCTGGACTATTCGGGTGTGTGCTTGTTTGCTGAAAACATGTTCTCTCTTCTTTTTTTGTAAACGAGGAAATTTATGGGGGGGGCGAGGGGGGCGGACCAAGATGTCTAATTATAACGAGGAAGCTTCCTAAAAGAGTATTTTTTTTAAAGGAGGGGAGAAGCCGCAATCTGCGCACAGAAATTTCGCTGGGGTGGATGCAAGAATCTGGTGTGTCCGATCGGTGGGAAGGTTGGGCTGGTGGGGTAGAGGACGAGTGGGGTAGATTTTTTTATTTTCCTTTGCCTCTTAAAACGTTTTCTCCCCCTGCACTGCTGCCTCCCGCCCCCCCCCCCCCCGCCAACTTGCGACCTGTTCTGGAGAGTGTAATGTATGCTTGAAAAATTTAAAAAAAAGTCAAAAGATGGCCAGGATCTGTGTCTTGGATGGTGGAAGGAGGGAGAAAATGAGGATACCTGCCTGCTCCTCTTCTTTAGAGACTTTCCCTTGAGGTCCCACCCTGCAATATTTCATTATTATATGAAGTTCGGGCTCCAGAGATGATGGGCCCAGCTGCTGTTCTTAGAGGACCTTCAAGTCCACAGTGCACACCATAGATTTAAAACACATTCGATGCCCATTTCCCCCCGCTCCAGGAATCCTGGGAATTGTAGTTCAGCCCCTTGCAGAACTACAGTTCCCAGCACCCTTAAACTACAATTCCCAGGATTCTTGGGTGGAAGCCAGGTGCATTAAATGCGCTTTCAAGGTATGGCATGGATGTGACCCAATCGCACCTGGCAGCTTTTCTTCCGTCTGTGAATTGGTCCGTGTTTATTCTTTCGTTGAGATTCCTGCATTTCAGGGGGTTGGAATGGATGACCCCGGGGGTCCCTTTGAACTCTACACTTCTATGATTCCCTGAACAGAAAAAGAGGTGCATCTTCAGCATTTTCTGGAATCTATTTCATGAAGGTGCCAGGGGAGGAAAATCCACAACTTAGGGGCCACCGCAGAGAAGACCCCGTCTTGGGTCACGACCCCCCGAACTTCTGAGGGTGGTGGAACTACCAGGAGGGTCCCCTCTGCCAATCTGAACACCCAGGAGGTCACAGGGAAGGAGGTGGCCTTTCAGATATTTGGGGTCTTAAGTTGCTTATGGAAAAGAGGTCATGCAAGCGCTAAGCAGAACCCCAGGCAGTAATCTGGCTGCTACCAATTGGACTTCCTGCGCTGTCTTCAAGGGCAGCACCACAAAAGTGCATTGCAGCAGTCCAGCCTGAAGTTGACCAGGGCGTGGAGTGCGGAGGTCCAGTCACCTATGTCTGAAAGGGGCCTCCCATAACTATGTTGGGTCCAGGAGCACCCCCTAGGCTACGAGTCTGCACCTTCCAGGGGTGTCCAGAACAGATCATCTCCCCAACCTCTGGACCTGGAAACTCAGGAAGATCTCCCTAAAAATCCGTACGGTTTGGAAAGGTTCAGACTTCATCCAAACATTTACAGGCAAATCCACAGTGTAGATCCAAAGCAAACCCAATGTGCCTTTGTAGCATGGGACCCCCCCCCATTGAATTCTGGGAGCTGTCGCCTGTCAACAATGGGAATGGTAGTTCAGTGAGCAAGGAACTACAGTTCCCAGGATCCTTTGCAGGAAATCACCTGCTCTAAAAGCATGGTGCAAGCCTTTATCTCGGGAACGGCCGTGCAAATTTGGTTACGACATCTTAAGAGAAGGGACACAGGTGGTGCTGTGGGTTAAACCACAGAGCCTAGGATTTGCTGATCAGAAGGTTGGCGGTTTGAATCCCCGCGACGGGGTGAGCTCCCGTTGCTCGGTCCCTGCTCCTGCCAACCTAGCAGTTCGAATGCACATCAAAGTGCAAGTAGATAAATAGGTACCACTCCAGTGGGAAGATAAACGGCATTTCCGTGTGCTACTCTGGTTCGCCAGAAGCGGCTTAGTCATGCTGGCCACATGACCCGGAAGCTGTACGCCGGCTCCCTCTGCCAATAAAGCGAGATGAGCGCCGCAACCCGAGAGTCGATCACGACTGGACCTAATGGTCAGGGGTCCCTTGACCATTACCTTAAGAGAGCTTGGGATGCGTAGCAATGAGACAAACAACTTTTTTTCAAAATACATACAGTGGTACCTCGGGTTACATACACTTCAGGTTACAGACTCCGCTAACCCAGAAATAGTGCTTCAGGTTAAGAACTTTGCTTCAGGATGAGAACAGAAGTCGTGCTCTGGCAGTGCAGCAGCAGCAGGAGGAGGCCCCATTAGCTAAAGTGGTGCTTCAGGTTAAGAACAGTTTCAGGTTAAGAACGGACCTCCAGAACGAATTAAGTACTCGACCCGAGGTACCACTGTAGATACAATCCTGTACTGGGG